ACCTTCACCCTTCCTCTTCTTTTGCTTCTTTCCTCCCTCCCTCCTTCTCTTCATTTTTTCTCTCTTTCATCTGAGTCAAAAGATTATCTTTTTGTTTTGAAGCACTGGCGAAATAGCTGAAGTAAGCAGTTCACAAGCCAATAATATTCATAATTTAAATTTGTACTCAATGGTATAGTCAAATATATGATTTTTTGTAAACATGGTGGGACTGTAACAGGCAATACATAGTAAAGAGTAACAAAGATAACAATAAACATAATGGTAATGATTCTAACAAAACCCAATGGTACACCAGACTCAAAGTCAAGCGTTCTACAAATAACCAATTGGTACATAGGAGCCTTCTGCAAACATGAAAGCTCTAAAACACAGCAAGCTTTATTACTACCCCCTCAGCATCCTGGTTAAATAATTTTGTTAGTATGTTAAATTTATCAGCCACATGTGGAAATTAAAAATTAGCTTTTTTTCCAGAATCTTTTTTTTTTTTAAAGAAAAGTTGGGGCCAGGTGGGACACTTTCCTCTGATGGAGGAGAAGTGGGCCTGAACTAACTCAGCATGTTTATTTTATAATCAAGTACAAAGGATTCAAGGGAGGGATTCAAGGTCTATGAGGGAGCTATAATGGAATTTTGTTGCTACCTAAATGGCAAGCTGTTCTGCAGTTCAGAATCATTTTGAATAACTATAGCATCTTTTCTTTCAGAAGATCTTCGAGTTAAAAGGTAACTTAAAAGATATACATCACCTCGTACTACTCAATATATGAATTTATACTAAAATATTACCAATATTTGTAAAATACAAAAACATTACAAAATGAACACACTTTAAATGATTTCAGAGTTACTTTACATTGTGAATGTTACACAAACAAAAATATTTCTTTGGGTAAAGTTTTTTTTTTTTAAAAAAGCATAGATCGAATTAATGACACATTTTAATTTAAATGTTGTCACGAATTCCCTGTAAGGATCATAGATAAAAAATCTTAAGGCTTTCCTTAGCTAAGAAAGATCTGGGAAGAATGTTAACACAACATACAGACAAGGATGAAATCCCAGGGGTCCAGTTTCTAGTGCTGATTACTGGAATATTGCTCAAGTAGTTCCACATATGAATTAGATATATTTTTTGGAAGCTCAAAAACACTTTCTCCCTCCAGTAGCTTTCTGACATTTACTTTAGTTCACCACATCCTGAAAATAGATATTTGGCTCCCAGCACTTTTTCAAACCACAGAATAGTATTAACTGTAATTTGCATTTCAAACAGTTTTCCCAAAATATGGCCACATCTGCATAAGTCTCAAAGCCATTTTGCTTTTTTAGCTTTTAAAAATAGTTCACCAAACTTTCATGAACTGCTTTCCAGAATGATCAATTATACACTCAGGCTACTAAAAAATCTCCTAGGTTCTGAGATAATATTACCAGTGGATGAGCTAATTCTCTACTGTGAACTATGGTGTTATGGAAAACAAGCCCTGAAAACACTTCTTCAGTGTGTTGGTTTGAAACCATATTTCCAGTTATTCTCTCAATGATAATAACAACAGTAATCGTAGCTAATATTCACTGAGGATTATGTGAAGTGCTTTACAATGTCCTGTGAGGTGAGTACTACTTCTAACTCTGTTTTACCCACAGATGAAATAAACTGAGCCATAGACTTGCTCACGGCGAGGGTCCTAGCAAGGGATAAAGGGGGTCCTTTACCCTGGTCTCTAGGACCCAAACCGGGATGCTTCCCCACTCAGCTCCGTCTCGCCTCAGAACCAGAACTGTTAAATCTGTTCGGGCAATCAGTTCTTTCAGAGAGGGACATGAGTAGATTATAAAGACTGTGCCAATACGCATTTGCTTTCCAGCATCCCTAGCTTTTTGGATTGCTCAAGAAGAGAAAGTTGCCAGAAAAATACACACACACAACTCTCTTCTTTGTCAGCAAAAAGCAGGCCCTCAGTGAACTCAGCCAAAGGGAAGCGGAAGAACATAAGATTATCCTTGCAGGACAGTGAGTGATGGGTTAGCCAACAAAGACAGAAAGAAGTACTGTGCTGGCAAGCGATGTCTATAAAAGGCTAGTCTTTTCTCACCAACCTGAGTAGCAGCAAAAGTGACAAGAAAGGGAAAAGGAAGGGGGAGGCAGGAAGAGGGAGGGAGCCCCAGAGCCCCAGATTAGTGGTTATGGCAGGCAGCAGCAGCAGCATCGGTGATGGCTTTCAGAAGCAGTGACAGATACAATCGAAAAAACGAATCTCTCAAGACAGAAGACAGAAGAGCTTTGCTGCCATGGAGGGACAACCAGCCACCTGTCTCTGGTTCCTGTGGGCCTTTGAGTTCTGGGGCAGGGAACTCCAGCCTGGGAAGGGTGGGATGAGGGCAGACAGCTGCCTCTGCTCAGCACCCCCCCAATGCATCAACGTGCCCTGCCAGGCAGCCCGGCTGGGACAGATGGACCGTCAGGGAACACAGTCACGGGATTGGGCAATTGATATCTGCATCCTGCAGCACAGTCCCTTGCTGACTTTCACACAGTTCCATCCCGTAGAGGTAGTACTAAGCAGGAGGGCATGAGGGCTTTTCATGCCTTCTGCCATTCTTTGACGTGGGTAAGTGATGCCTTCTCAATCTTCTGTCCCTTTTCTCTTCCAGATCGCTGCCTTTACGTCTCTCCCATATAGGAAACTTGCAGCTGTCACTATAGGTAACATATGACTTACCACAAACTGTTCATGTCCACGTTTTGAAAAAGAGATTTCCATTATGGGAAAGTTAAAAGGTTATGGCTAGGTACTTAAACAGCTGGTCCACTATTTAGCAAGGAAAACTGTCCAGTTCATTTCCCAGAGCCAGTGAGCTGTCCAGTTCATTTCCCAAGGATATCTGTGGTTTTATTTTATATAGTTGCATATGATTCAAATGATATTCTGAAAACTGCCATAACAATAAAAGGTCTGGGTTTCTGAAGGGTGCTAAAATTGAAAGGCTATAGTGTAAATATTTTTTCTTTTTCTTTTTTTTGAGTTGGAGTTTCACTCTGTTGCCTAAGATGGAGTACAGTGGCACAATCATGGCTCACTGCAGCCTCGACCTCCTGGGCTCAGGCAAATCTTCCACCTCACTTACCTCAGTGAGTTGCTGAGAATACAGGAGTGTACCACTGTACCCACCTAATTGTTTGATTTTTTATAGAGATGAGGTTTCACTATGCTGCCCAGGTTGGTCTCGAACTCCTGGATTCAAGCAATCCTCCTGCCTCAGCCTCCCAAAGGGCTGAGATTATAGACGTAAGCTACCATGCTCAGCAACAATCTTTTGATAATGTTAGAGCAGGTGATGGACACAGAAAACATCCCTGGGTCCTCAGGCCTAACTGGGTAGAGCAAGACTGCAGTGCACACTGTGCTAATCACCCTTCTTCCAAGACAGCTTTGCTGAGTCCTGCAGGCAAGAATGTAGGTGGTCATTAACACACACTCCCACAGTTTGGGCTACTCAGATGCCAACTCTTTCATTAGCTGCTCTGTGACTCTTTTAGCTGCAAGTAACTTTGCCTTTCTCACAACTTTTATGGTACTGGCCACTTGTCTTTTGAAAATTCACCCTCTTTCTGTGTTGGAGTCATTGGTGGGTGTGGCTTATCTCTTCCACTGAATGTAAGTTCTGTAAGAGTAGGACCCTTCTGAGTCACCTTCATGTCCCTTCCCCTGGTCCCTGTTCAGTACTATAGACCTATGGTCAGGCCTCATTTCTCCCTTCACCCCCATGTCATGCCAACACCGCACATCACTCACCCACACCCACTGGTAGCTACCCTGAAGCTTGCTGACCACATCTGTGGACCTTGGCTGCTTGCTTACTGCTGCACTCCCTTCTGCTTCTCTCTTCCCATCCACCCACCCTTCCTCTCACATCTTGTTGCCCTGCTCCAACAGGGCAATAGATGGGATATCAGGTATCTCCAGGAGGACCAGTCTTGCCAATAGGGTTCCATACTTGCAACCAATTGATTCCACTGTGTGAGGACAAAAGTCTGTACAGAGGTCCAGTTGTAAAGGTCACTTCGAAAGTTAAGACAATTCTTATTTGTTTTCTAGAAAGTGCAGATTTTATTTCCCAATTCAAAAACACCCTTTTAAAAAAATAACCCTTTTGCCTCTGTACCTAAAATTTCAATCCCCATCTCCAGTATTCACCATCCCCCTTTCCTTCTTTTAAAATTTCTCTTAGTACTTTTTATTAACATACATGTTTTTTATTAGCATACTTATTAACATAACATCTTTTACTTACTTATTGCTATGGTTTGAATATTTCCTTCAAAACTCATGTTGAAATTTAATTGCCATTATAAGAATTGGGGTCTTTAAGAGGTGATCAGGCCGTGAGGCCTCATGAATGGATTAATGCTGTTATCTGGGGAGTGGGTGAGTATGGGAATGGGCTCCTGATAAAAGGATGAAGTTCAGCCTCCATCCCCTCTCTGTTTCCCATGCTCACTTGCCTTCTGCCTTCTGCAGTGGAATGATACAGCATGAAGGGCCTCACTAGATGCCGGCACCATGCTCTTGGGTTTCCCAGCCTCCAGAACCATGAGCCAAATAGACTTCTATTTTTTATAATTACCAAGTCTGTGGTATTGTGTTATATCAACATAAAATGGACTAGACACTTATCCTGCTTACTGTCTATCCCTCCTGGTAGAATATAAGCCCCATGAAGGCAGGGGTTCTGATTTATTTATTGCACCTGCACCCATAGCAATTCCTGGCTTAGAAGAGTTACTCAACAAACATTGGTTAGGTAAATGAAAGAGTAGGGGGTGAATGAAGGGGTGTGCCTGCTGCTTTCTGGCCAGACCACTGGCTATTCAAGGCTGTGAGCATCCTGCCCTCCTGTGTAGAAAAGGGAATGTTCGCAGCCTGTCCATCAAAGACTCTGGGAGCCTGGCTCATTGACTTTCTGCCCTCCCTGCAACTCACATCACTCACCTTTAGCTTGTGCTCATGTTCCTTGTTGACACGGGCCAGCAACTGGGCTTTCCTTCTGTTGAGGGCATCGATAAGGGCATCACATTGGGCCACCAGACAGGCTTCAAACTCCACACTGTTCTCCTGAGTGACAGAGCACATTTCTCAGTTGCAAGGCACTGGGTGTCTCAGGCTGCCAGAGAAAACAGGGTTCCCCAATTGCTATGTGGGGCAGAATCCCTGCTGAAGGGAATGAAAAGGAACTCTGTCTGCAATGCACATTTGGGTTTTTGGTTTTTTTTTTAATATAATCAGATAAACTTTGCTCTATAGTGGTAGTGTTTGGCTTCAAATTTAGATCGAAAAGGATAAATATTTATCACTTACATTTATTTTTATCAAAGGGAGTCATCTTTATAATTTAAATTATATTAAGTAAAATAAAGCTTTAGTTTGTAGAGTTGTACATGAATGCTTTGGGGCCACATATGTTCAGCTCTGTGTGGTGTAAGTTGGCATTCAGAAAGGCTACCGGGAGGGAGTGAGGTATTGTTGAGGAAGGAGACATAGGAGTCTTTAAATTCAAGGGGAGAAAGATGAAATAGGATGACAATCATTTTCAATATTAAACAATAATCCAGTGACAACAGAAGTTTATAAGATATAAGAATAATGGGCCAAAGTACTTGCCCCTTTCATTAAGGAAAGCAAATTGCAAACTTGAGTAGGCAGTTAAGGGCAATCAATGTGTGTAACAAGCATCAACCTGCTGTAAAAAATCAGATGTGAACCGATAGCTTGTGGGAGAAGGCAGCTACATCCAAATGAATAGTAGTTTCCCCATGATATTTACATTAAATGCTGGATGTAACATTTTTATTTGACTTAAATCTGTACGTGTCACAGACATTTCTTTAAAGCAATTATTTCAGTGAATTATAAGGATTTGTGAAAGATAATCCTTTCAATGAATTATATACGCAACTTCTATTCTTAAACCAGAATCTGAAAACAAAATGTAATTTATAGCTAATGAAAGCTAAATACTCACATATACATTAATAGCACTTGAAAAACAGTACCCAATCAAGTATACTGTAAATTTAGGGAGCTGGCAAGGAAGGAACAGTTTAACCTTTCAAATTTTGATTTATTCCCACCCAAAGTCATAAAGGCTTGTGTCTCTTTATATAATAATTGACTGGTAGGTATTTGGTAACTATTTTCAAATGCAAGGTCTTAGTACAAGGTAAGCATTTGTAATTGCTTGAGCAATGCTAAATTTTGCCTCTCATGGTAACTGCTTTTGAGTTCTGAAAGAAGGCCCATGGAAAACATCACGTAAGAGCTCTCTGTGCCCCATACAGGGTAATATTTGGGGGTGGTAGTTGGGGGAAGCCTTCCACTTGTAGGCTCTGTCACTGATTTCAAACAGAAAGAAAGCTTTGGTCTGATGCAGAGGCCAGGGCAGAGGCAAGCCTGGGGCTGCACATTTTCTGCCAGCAAAAGCAAAGAAAGGCCTGATTGATCAACTCTATTTCTTTGGAAAACAGAAGGAAGTAAAGAGAACTGTTAGGTTGTTAGGGAAGCAAAAGTTTTAACGTGGGCATGCATGCCAAAAAAAAAAAAAAAAAAAGGCAAAGAAATCAGTGTGTAAAAAGCCTGGCTTACCTTTAAAAATCCATTTCTGCCTTGACATGGCGAAATATTAACTTAGGAAACTAATTTACTGGAGGCCAGAGCTAAGGTTATTTCTGTGAGCAAACCTCAAAGCACAAGAATGCTAAACAGTGCAGAGGGTCATTATTTTAGCAACTCATGCAGTTTACGGTGTTTCCCCTTTAGCTAGAGTAGAAAATTTATGAGCTCTCAAATGCTGGTTGAATGGCTAGTCATTGTGTCCAGATAAAGCAATCTGAAATTATAATCACTAAGGGATAATAGTTGAAAATATTCAAGTATCTAAGTAGAAGATAAGCATTATTATGGATCAGGAAGGAAGAAAAAAAGGAAGAAAGGAAAAACAGAAGGAAAGAAGAAAGGAAGGAAAGAAAGGAAAAAAGAAACAATAAGAGAAAATGTGGTCAGGTGTGGCGGTTCGTTCCTGTAATCCCAGCACTTTGGGAGGCCAAGGTTGGAGGGTTGCTTGAGCCTAGGAATTCAAGACCAGCCTGGGCAACATAGCAAGACCTTGTCTCTACAAAAAAAAAAAAAAAAAAATCCAGGTGTGGTGGCATGTATATTTCCAGTTACCCAGAAGGCTGAGGTGGAAGGATCTCTTGAGCGCAAGAGATCAAGGCTACAGTGAGCCATGATCATGCCACAGCACTCCAGCTGAGCAACAGAGTGAGACTCCAATTTAAAGAGAGAGAGAAGGGTGGGGGGGGGGAGAGAGAATGTGACCTGTTGCTATTAGATAAGATATAATTATTACAAGGTCTTTTGGCAAACTATAGGGTTTAGAAAAAACTCAGCAATAATGACCCTGAATCCACAAAGAAATAGGCCTCTTTCTGAATACTCAGTGAGAACAGCATTAGGACCTCAGTACGAGAGACAGGAACGACCTGGAAAATCAGGTTGTGTTTCTGGCTTGTTGGCAAAAGGGAGACACCTTAAAAAGGGATAGGTTTGAATTGGCCCGAAGATTCAGCAGAAAAAAGTAACAAGACATGATTCTACAACATCTACAAATACAAGAAACAAACTCCCCCACTCCAGAGACACCTGATCAGCCCCCAGGGTTTCCCGTGTGTCCCAGGCGCCATGGGTACCTGGATCTGTTGCACCATGTTGCGGAGCTGCACAAGAAACTCCTTGGCTTCTTTGGCCCTGTCGGACAGTCCGTTCAGCGCCTGGGAGAGCTGGCTCTGCAAGACAAAGAGGGAAGCCTTGGAGCTCTAATCATGGGAAGTGGCAACGAGGTCATCCGGGGTCTTGCTCTCAGGGAGACCCAAACCCGGACAGTATCAGCCTCCTCAGCATCCTTGTGGTGGAGGCCAGGCATTCTAGCTGACACGTGCACATACAGTTTCCAGGAATAGCGGTGTCTGGTAACAATGGGCTACTGTGGCGTTTTTTCCTCTGGAGAGCCGTGAACTCATTAGTATCAACATTATTTAGTCTAAAGAGCCGAAGGTCTCGGATTGGAGAAGAAAGGATGAAGAGAGTCAAGAACAAGACGAAGGAAGGAAGCGTGAGGTACTGGCGTGATGCTCTAGAGCTGCTTGCATGTGATGACACAGGGGAAGATGACTTTCTACTTCCCATACCATCAGTGTCTCCTTCTTCTCCTGAGTGCAGTCCTGTTGCCCTAACTCCTCCACGCTCGTCTCCTAAACCGACTTCTGACTTCCCACTCTGCTATGCCCATGTGGGGATGCAATTCTGCTGGGGAGGCAAGGTGTCCAGGAAGGCACTTACTTTTCCAGCCTCCCTGTCTGCTGATGTGGCGCATGTTGCTGATCCATGAAACCTAAGTGGAAGTCATCTAGGGGATGAGGGGGGCGGATGAGAAAGTTTTTGCTTTTCTTCCTTTTAAAAAATTTTTAGAGACAGGGTCTTGCTCTGTTGCCTAGGCTAGATTGCAGTGGCACAATCATAGCTCACAGCAGCCTTCAACTCTTGGGCTTAAGCAATCCTCCTTCCTCAGCCTCCTGAGTAGCTGGGACTATCGGTGCAGGCCACCAGCCTCAGCTAATTTTTTTAAAAAGATATTTTGTAGAGATGATGTCTCATGATATTGTCCAGGTTGGTCTCAAACTCCTGGTCTGAAGCAATCCTCCTCCTGCCTCTGCCGACCAGAGTGCTGGAATTACAGGCCTGAGACTCTATGCCCAGCCCAACTTTTGCTTTTCTGCTGACATGGAACTGGTGTGGCTGGCACAGCCTCTCTCCTTTGGTCCCTAACTTTATGATGGATGTGATGCTTTCTGACTCATGAGGAGAAGGCCAACAGCTATGGGTGGCAGGGTGGACAGTAAAGCAGTCGGGTCCTGATGGCATCTTTGAGCAGCTGAAGTCTGCCAACACTAGGTTTCTTGTTATGTGAAAAAAAACCAAACTCCTATTTAAGTCCCTGTTCTGGAGTTTTCCATTGTTAGCAGTCATTATCACTGTACTTGATTCAAAATTCCTCCTCCTAGTAGCCTGGGCCTATCCTTCCATCCCTCATGTACAGAGACAGACTCCCTTTCCCCCACTGCCTTTTTATTTTTATTTATTTATTTATTTATTTTGAGTTGGAGTCTCACTCTGTGGCCCAGACTGGAGTGCAGTGGCCGCTCCCAGCCACCGCAGCCTCGACCTGCTGGGCTCCGGCGATCCTTCCGCCTCAGCTTTCCAAGTAGCTAGAATTACAGGCATGCGCTACCACGCCCGGCTGATTTTTTGATTTATTGTAGAGATGAGGTCTCGCTACCCAGGCGGGTCTCGAACGCGCAGGCTCAGGTAATCCACTCACCTCAGCCTCCCAAAGGCGCGGGATTACAGGCTGAGCCACCGAGCCCGGCTCCCCCACTGCCTTTTTAAAAACTAAAGCCCATTCTGCTTGCCAACACAATGCTGCATCACCTACCTTTTCCTTTTAGTCAAAGGACATACTTTTAAAATTATATCTCTTGGTCCTGTGAATGTTTGTCTCTCTCATATTTACCTTATTAAATACAAAGTTGCGCACTGATTCTCTTTATATAGCAAGACCTGCCAAATGCTTGGTGGGAGCAATGTGGGATGGTAGGAAAAAAAAAATACAGGCTTTGAAAATGTTCTGATTCTCGCTGTGTCCCTTACTAAGTGTGTCCTTGAGAAAGTTATCTCTGCCAGGATTACTCCAATGGAAAAATGGGAAGCATAATAATACTTTGTGGTGGGGTGATTGTAAGGGTTGAATGCATTAATCAATGTGAAAGCTAGTAAAGGGTAGTGGTTAAGGGAACTATTTTGAATTCAGAAATGCTGTCAGTTACTGACTGCTCAACCCTTTGTGCATAGTTTTACCTCATCTGTAGCATGAGAAGAATAATACTGCTCTTGCATGTCATGGGCATTGCATGAGACATTATATCTACAGCCCAGATCCCCGCCTGGGCATAGGGCATGATGAGTACTTAATAAATGTTGGCCAGCACCAATTCCTGTTCACTTTCTTTGTTTCTGCTCACACAAACATCTGTTGGCGGGAGGGATTCCTGGAACTGCATGTGTCTGCTGGAGAATATCTTTGATCACTCTACTTTGCTCTATGTACTCAGATTCCAGGAGACGAGACCAACACAACTGAGTAGAAAAAGGCACAAAGTCAGCCTATAGTTGCAAAAGGGCAGCTCACGTCTTTGTTATGGGGTCGCAGCTACATTTGGGGTAAAAGTTTCTCCTCAAGAGCTACTTCCAGGAGCCCAGGGTATAAAGGAGTGAAAAGGGGTCTCATTTGGAAGAGCAGACAATAAAACGAGAGACAGATTTTGAAGAACAAAAGATTTTAAAAAACATTATTATTTAGAACGCCTCTCTCCCCCCCCACTCTCCTGAATAAGTAAACGTTTGCTGAATAACCACACCTGGACTTGATAAAAAAAAAATGGTACAGATACCCAATGGAGTATTATGCAGCTATAAAGAAGGACAAGCATATGGACTTTGCAGCAACTTGGATGGATTTAGAGTCTATCACACTCAGTGATCTAGCCCAGAAACAAAGAACAGAGTACCACATGTTCTCATTCATAAGCAGACCCTGAACATTTACCATAATACCATAAGAAAGGGGTTGGCAGTAGCGGGATACTGCTGGGGCGAGGGTGGGGGGGAGGACACGACATCAATAGGGGTACCTGATCTCAAACCAGGCAGAGTGGGGACCAAAGGGAGGCCCAAACTTTACCTGTATGATGATCATTTGTACACCTAATCATGAATTGTACCCTACATTTAAAATAAAAGAATAAAAAAAGAGAAAAAACCCACACACTTGGAGGTTTGAGTACAGAAACCAAATTCATTTGGCTACAAGAAGTGAAGCTATTATACCTGATATCTTGTATTCTAATCTTGCAATGAATTGTGTATAATGTATGTCAGACAACACCCATAAAGATTTCTTGATCGGGTGCTGCTGTATGCTTAGAAAAAAATAATTCAGTAGTAGACAAAGAGTGCTGGCCCCATCCACTCCCAGGATTTTATATAACAAAGCAGTAAGTGAACTGCAAAAATCAATTTATTTCCAGATTTCCTCTTTTTGTGTCTATGTTCAATTCCGAGAATACCTTCTGTCTGGCTAATGATTGCTCTGGTATTTGATAAACAACTGCATGATAAGATAATGATCTAGAAGCCATTCTCTTAAGCTTTTTCCACTTGTAGAAATTGAACAAGAGAACAATGAAAAAAATCCTGGAAAATGATTTATCACTAAAAGTGCTTTCATTGTAAGGATTTATACGTGCATTGCTTTCATAGGGCAGTCTTTTGATCACATTTATAAGCTACATCTGATAGAAGAACATTATTATTGGCCGATTTTGTTTCCCAGAAGCATTTAGATTCCTGCTCTGTGCTAACAGAGATGTTCTGTATTCAGGACCAGACAGCAGCCCTGGAAATTTATGATCAGACTCTGAAGATGCAAATATGTAGTGTGCTTTTTTATTTTCCTCTTTATTTTATTTTAAATATTTTAATTTTTATTTTAAAGACGTGGTACAATTCAGGGCTACGTATACAAATGGTCATTATACAGATAAAGTTTGGGCCTCACTTTGGTCCCCAGGTCACCTGGTTTGTGATCAGTACCCTTACTAAGGAGGTGTGTTCCCTCCTCTGCTCCCTTCCCTGGTAGTTTCATCATGGCATTGCTGACTGTTCCTGGAGTCATTAGAGGGAGAAGGGTTTGGTTCTAAAAGCTGCCTACAATGTCTACGCAAGGGCATTCAGATTTCTTGGTTATTTGTTTTCTAATATACAGAAAAGGTGTCATGATCAGAGAGTGAATGAGAGTGGAAAATGATACAGCAGCAGGAGCACTGACCAAGCGCCTATGTTGTTCTTGGCTCGAAGCATGCTTGGAATAGCCAAGATATCCCAGAAGGATGACATGCTTTTCAAACTTGAAGGAGAGGGACAAAGAACTGTGCCTCTCCTTCCCTCCTACTGATCCTGGCCCCCCTTGCTTCTCTAGAAGAGATCAGGAGCTCAACCTGGGAGGATGTTTCGGAACCTATTTCTCAAACTCAGCACACAGGTCAGGAATCCAATCCATCCTGACCAACTCCTGACTTACCCGTGCATCCATCCAAGCTGCTGAGCAGACAGAGGCTGTCTCTCCTTTCCTTTCCCTGCTGCACTCATTACTCACGTGTCCTTTTCCCCTCAATTGACTCTGAATATTGGATGAAGAAAAACTGGGACAAATGAAAGGAAGCATACTGGTATCTGGGATCTGAAGTTACAGGCACAGGATGGGTCAGAAGTGTCAACCAACGAGTCGGTATGAAACAGATGAGGCGTCCAACCAGCAATGGAAGCTTGATGGCCCAGAAAGCAACTGTGCTGCCTCCCTGGGCATGGAGCATCTGCTGGTGCTGCATCTTTGTGTATGCCATCTTTGTGTGTGCTGCAGCTTTGGTATGCCATTTGTATGCCAGGAGCCTAAGCCCATGCCACCTCCTTCCTAGGTCCAAAGACAGACACAAAACACAGTAGGAAAGTGACCACTGATGCCATGGAATTCTGAAGGAAGGCCCCCCCCCAGGAGAATAATTTTTCTGTTGACATATTGATTTTTGCGTCTCATTATGTTACTGGCGTTGTATAATTAGAAAGTAACAGCAAGGTGGCTCAAGCCTGTAATCCTAGCACTTTGGGAGGCAGA